GCTAGCCGCAGTGTCGCCTGCGGTTGTCGCCTGCAGCCCATTACGGAATTGTACCTTTAAATTTCAACTCGATACCTTCACGCGTTCCCGAGATAAAGTGTCTTGCTAGGCCAACGGACAGACGGACAACAAAGTGATCTTATCGTTCCATTTTTTCTTTTATTATTATTATTTATTTATTACATCAAAAATAATACATTATAAGCCTAAGTATATAACAGTGTCTCGCAAAGCCGTTGGCCATCGACACCCGTAGGTACGACAACTCAATCAACAAATTTAAATGAAACCATTCATTCATCAGACATTAATCGGTACGGTAATGTTATTATTATTTTTTTTATATACCGCACCGCCTTTAATAAAAGCTAGGTAGCTGTTGGCCAAACACCGCGTCGAGTAATACAGTAAAAGAGTGGACACACACTGATTTCGTGTTTCATATTTTTTGTTTTACTTATATCATGTTGATGTTGGATTTTAGTTTTATTATTAAAAGGGATAGAAAATATGTTTTTAAAATGGAATTAATGTTACTTTGATTAATTTTATGTTTAATTGTTTCTGGCAGATTATTTATTAATTTTGGAATTTGGTGTTGGAGTAACTGTTTACCATACAGATTGCTATACTTGGTACTTCAAATATAATCTTTGAGGCACTACGTGTTAGTTTCTTCCGTTTAATGGCATTCAGAAATTCTTTTTTGTGATATTTTTCAATTAGTAATGCATAACATAGTAGCATTGTAGTTGTGTTGGTACTGAGTTTTTATCTTTTTTGGCACAATGGTTTTAAGAGTTCTTAAATGAAGCTCTTTTATAGAATCAAGATGCGATTTAAAGGTTCGACCGTAGCTACTCAGGCCGTAATGTATTGCAGTTTCACCGAGTACCTTATACAACTGCAATAGTGTTTTATACGGAATTTTATTTTTAAGTATAGCAAACTTGGTCAGTATCGCTGTTAGTTTGTCGCATACATTGTTTATATTTCCGTCCGCTTAAATCGATCTTCAATTGTAAGACAGAGATATTTGAAGCGTTTTGCTATTTCTATAGTAGGACAAGTGCAGGTTTGCGAACAAGCATGTGGACATGTATTTGTGTGCGCAATTAGTTTCAGATCTTTGTATTTGCTATTATGACTAGAACTATAATATACATTAATTTTGTTTTGTCTGGGTTTACCACTAACCCTACATCGTGAGACCATTTCGAAAATAATGTCGTCTTTTTGCAAATAATTAAGGGCAGTGTTGGCAGGTCATTGTTTGCAGATATCAGGCAGGTGTCATCGGCGTATTGATACATTTCGGTCTTAGATACGACATTAACCGCATCATTCACGTAAGTTATATAATGCAATGAGCCTATTACAGAACCCTGGGCTGTGCCATCTGTTACAGTAACACTATCACTTAAAGCATCACCTATCCTAACTATGTAGGATCTACCATTCAAATACTCCTGGCACCATGTATTAAGAGGACCACGTATACCACAATCGCTAAGCTTTTTGATCAAAGTGTTGTGCCAGAGAGAATAGGAAGCCCTACTATAATCTATAAAAAGCACCAAAACATGTTTTTTTTTCATTAAGACTATGATAATACTATCAGTGAATTTTTCCAGGGGGATCATCGCCAGGGGGAGTCCGGAAACGGACAACCACCTTGCGAGCGTACGATCAGTCGAACAGGGTATCGCAACACCACCCGCACTCCCGCATTGTGGAGACTACGATCCTAGCAATGTGGAGCGGGTGACATGGTGCAGGGATTGTCTGGTTTTTATTAGCCTTGTTCACTTCAGCGAACCCTCTTGGGCTGGCTGAAGTGGGTAGGGAGCAGTCCCACATACCTTCTCGCTCCCCCAGTGGTCGAAGGATGCGCATGGCATTACCCATATAAAAAGGTATTGATGATATGATCATCTGGTGGAGATGCTTTGCTGGATATAAGTCAAGATTTTTTTCTAGAAAGAAATATCTTTAGCGTACTATATAATAGGTGGTAAGTTTGCCAAATGGAGCGCTGAATCTGATCAAAGACAATAATTATCTACATATCATATTTAGGTACTTGTAAACAATATTATCTGCATATCGTATTTTAGGTGCTTGTAAGTACCACTGGTAATATGCCAATAACATGAGAGGGTTTAATAAGAACATTCTCACGACATACAAACAACACTAAACGTAAATTCCGCGTTGCCTTGGTAATAGATGTAGGTTAGAATGTATATCAGTGTTAATGTGAATATGGTTACAGTTGAAAATTGTCCTTGTAGCAAAATGTAAGATAAACTTATTGAAGTGTATACCTACGCATTATAAGTCCCTGACGTTTCTATTCGGGCTGAGTTTTGTGTAAGCAATCATATCAAAAGCTGAGCGAATTTTCATGTAGTTTTAGGTAGGTAATTTATCACTAAAGGTTAATTAAGTTAGAAACATGCCCGAGGACAAAAACTAATTTACACAGGAAGTGAGAAGCGTTCACTGGTACCTATGTAAAAAAAAAACAAACAAATTGTGACCGTTTTCCCTTTTTATCAGTTTTTTACTTAAAAACAGTGACAAAACAAGCCTATGGTGTATCTGTTGGTAAACGAACCTTATAGCCTTTAAAGTCTTGTAACACAAGAGAATTACTCGCGCGTATCTAACTCTCACTAGAGAATCAGAATCTGCAAGACCACGGATGGCTTCTATTAGGAACAAAACAATAAAGCATAATATAATAATACAAAAGATAATGTGTTACTTGCTTCCTCGAGCGGAAAATCAACTCTGACAAGGAATCCTTTAAGTTCCAGCATGTTCTGGTTAAAGTCATTGAATTTCCATACATTTCCAATATCTGAATTTTGAAATCTGTATAGACAGATCCGTCATGACCTAATGCTCGCTTAATAACTACGGAGAAATGAAAACAGCTGAATATCATTGAAATCACAATCTTTGTTCTTGTATTGTAGATCGGAAATCATGATGCCTTTAACTGATAAACTATGGACCTAACGGCAAATTTCGAAGCAAATGTCGAATTAAAAGATCAATTCGAAGTAAGGATATTTTCAATGTTTGATAACAAGGCATAGCGGATTTACTGCTCGAATTGAATCGCCTGTTTGGGGATGTAACCTCCACCTTGCAGAAGATCACAGTAAAATACCACTGCCTTTTGGTGATGTTGTTTCTGTCGGTCATTGACGTTCCAGGGCTCCACGGGATTGGGGATTGGGTCAGGGTAGGCAACGGCGCGAATGATATTTTTTGTATCGCAAGCGTCTTATAGGCTATGGTGGCCGCTTACCATCAGGCGGGCCATATGCTCGTTTACCACACTTTTATCTATAATATAAAAATGAATCGCTGAATGTGTTGCTAAGCGCAAATCTCGAGAACAGCTGAACCGATTTCGATAATCCTTTTTTTACAATATTCCTTGAAGTGCGAGGATAGTTTTTACGCAGAGAAAAATTAAAAAAATTGCCGGAAAAATTCCAAAAACAACACTTTTCTATACTCCCATACAAACAATTCGTAATAATACTTGAAAGTAAATTTGAGCTTAATACCATACCATAAGTTTCAATGTTAGTGGAGAGGCTCCGGGAAGGCAAAACAATTGAGTGATGTGATGTCAACAGAAGTTTGGAAAAGGCAAATATACTATTTTTAGTTTTTTTTATAACTAATGAAGAGTCATTTTAGTCTACACTACAGCTCTACACCGAAGCGAAGCGATGACGGGCCACTAGTTTAATATAAAAAATAATGTGTGTCGAGTCTCGCACTATGAATGTGTTGTTGCCCATCACTAAGCTCAAATCTCAAGGTAGCATTTCTTGATACGTCTAGGCTCTGGGATTATAATATTTGCGGACTTCGTACGGTCCGGTATTCGACCGTAAACTTTCTCATGAATTGAATTGGAATTTAACCGTACACATTATCCTACTACTAATATAAATGTAAAAGTTTGTTTGTTACTCAATCACGCAAAAAGTTCTGAACGAATTTGGATGAAATTTGGTACGTATGTAGTTTATGATCTAAATTGAGACTTTTTATCCCAGAAAATGACAGATTTCTATAAGATTCTCAAAAAACTAAAGCTAAAGCATGCGACGTCGCGGGCGGGCACTAGTTGATTATAATGACGAATTGGAATTACACATATAAAGTTTGCGATACAAACACAGGCCTTTGTAGCCTTTTTAATGGGGACCATTCCACGAAATTCATTAGTGTTTATGAACTATTTTGCGTACTGATCCTTTTAAGCATGTTGACCATTTAGAACTAACTTGATTGTGAATTAAACGGAATTAATTTAGTGCAATGACCGGTTGACCTGCTGTTGTATAGAAATAAGCGAATAGTCCTTACATTGTACATTGTCCTTACAGTGTCAACAAAAATTTAGATTCACTTCGCATTCTCTATCGCAATTATTCAGAGGAATTGTTCGTTAATGGCAGTGTTCAGGGGAATTGTTCGGATTAATGTCAGTTGCTGCTTTTCGCAATCGTACATCTCGACAAAAATTTCATCCCCATCATCTTGATCAATGGCTATCCACAACCTTGCGATTTTGTCGAAAGTTTTTACCGTATACGACAAAACTATGGAATACATTGTCACCAGCAGTGTTTCCGGACCAATGCTACCCGAACGAAAGCCTATAAAAAATCTAACTAAAAAAATAACTAACTACTAATTCCTCAAAGACCGATATCGCTTTTGAAATTGCAGGTGTCTATGGGTGACGTTGATCACTTACCATCAGGTGAGCCATCGGCTCGTATACCCCTTATAATATTAACAAAAGAACTATATAAATATTAACACGGCTAAGATATCAAACTTACCTGTCACTAGATCCATCGGCCATCGGCCATCATCGGTGAGCCATCGGCTCGTATACCCCTTATAATATTAACAAAAGAACTATATAAATATTAACACGGCTAAGATATCAAACTTACCTGTCACTAGATCATTCAAAAATTCTCCGAGATGCTCTCCCATAAATCTAGCATAAGTCGACGACCGGAAGTACTCCAGGTTGATCAGCTTCCTTCCATCCAGGGCTAGCAGCAGCAACCCTGGTTTCTTCATCAACACAGGCGCTACCCCTTTCACCATCACACCATCTGAACTCTCCAGGAAACCGTGGACTAACACCACCGTGCCATGGAAATTCGGAAGGTGCCTACTCATCCTCCTGGACTCGGTCATGTTGTATTTGATGCTCCCTTTCTTAGTGATATGGTCAATTTCCAGCGAGTCGTAGAAAGAGGTGATATTCTTTCCAGTCATCTGTTCGTACGTTAGACCAAAATAGCTCTTTAAGGTCTCGCCTGAAAATTTTCATTAGACATTTATTCCCAAACCAAAATGTAAATGAACATTTTATTTACATTAAAGAATCAAAAGTATACACTATATTTCACTTTCAAATATTTCTGAGCTAAGTGGCAGAATAGTTCTTTGTCAACTAATTGAAATATTAAATTAACTATTAAACTAATGTAAATTTAACTTTATTGATCATCCTCAAAGGCCTCTTAATGTCCCTACTGCAGGGGCACAGGCCTTCTCTATGGGGGGAATAGGGAGATTGGGCCATGACCCACCACGCGGCCCCAGTGCGCATTGGTGGGTGCTAACGGCTGCAGATGCACCAACGGCTTAACGAGCCTTTCAAAGCACGGAGAAGCTCAAGATAGTAAATTTATGGCTCGAGATATGAATAGTTACATGTGCCATCGAGCTCCTTCTCTACTTAAATTTAAATTTGTTATTAAAGCAAATTGGGTCCACACCTTAATAATTAGACTACATTAAGAAGCAGTGGCGCTTATAATATCAACAGTAACTGCATCGACAGTAGCTGTATCAAAAACACCTCATCGACAGGTTAGTGCTACATCTACAGTACACCAACGAGAATTTTAAGATTTACCTAACTTTATAAGATACTACCTGACCCGGCGAACTTCGTACCCCCTAGCAGTCGATGAATATGGTATCTTTAAATTTTCAAACTTAAATAAATTAATGATTTAAAAGCCGTATTAAAACAAACAAGTTCAATAGTTTAAAATGGAATTTCAAAAACGTGTATTTCAATAGAATATTAGCGAAATTTAAAACCGGATTCATACGTTCCCTTGAGAGCGAATACCGTGAGACTTCTTAGGAAATCAGGAATGGTTTTATTTACTAAAACTAATGTCAATGTAAAAATGAAAGCTATGATACAGTTGAAGTTATATCCATCATCTCCTTACCAAAATATAGGCAAGTATTACGTGTATTACAGAATTTTCTTTAAATTACAATCACTCTGATCATATCTATTCTATGGAGTAGGCTATTTTCCCACATTATTACCTTATTCAGAGGTATTAACTGATTTGCAGTACAAATAAGATTTTCAATACATTTGCTGAAAAATGCTTTTTGCGTTTTTTTTTTTATTTCCTTGGAAGCGCTTTTGATATACACATTTGGCTCTCCTTCATTCTTAAAAAAAGCAAAATAAAGCCCAAAGGTGTAGTTTTAATTTTCATCACTAGCTCGTGGCGGAACGTGGAAATGATGATATTAGTGCGGTAAGTACAATTGAACGTGTCACTGGCGCTGTCATGCGGGGTCAAATGGCAGCGGGTTGTCGGAGCCGGTACATTTGTGTGAGTGTAGGTAGTTTACAACAAATGAAATTACAGGACCTTACATGCTTCACATCATTTTAGTTTGATATTACGTCCGTTTTTTTTCAGGTCCGTGGTCATAATATTATAATGCATATTGGCGGGTGGCATAAACTTCATTTCGCAGAAAATAATTCGGCATTAACTCATTAAGCAGATATTCAAACGCATATTTTTTCAGGCAAAATCATCTTTAGGCATAATATTTATATCCACAATAATTAAAAAGCAGACCATCATATCGCAGAAAGTTCACAGACCTAACCCACTGATCACAAATACAGATTATGCTTAATAAAATTTTGCCATCTTAAAAGTATGCTATTGGGAATGCGGACCTACAAACATTCGGCGACATTATTATTATACTTAATAAAAAATATGCCTGTCAAATATTCGTTTAAAGAAGATTATGCCAAGTGTGTTATGCCAAATAAATTTTGGAGCAACAAGGTTATGCCTGATAGAAAGAACCCGGACCGAGGGTGTGCAAACTTTTTTCTGATCGTGCCAATCAATGATATATTATGTCAAGTGTCAATATTTAGTTTTAGAATCTATGGCTGACCATGTTTTTGCTCAGGCCCTATGAAGTATATCACTTTTTTATTTTTTTCTTACAGTGCCAATAGAATTATAACTATGTATACATTTTGTTATTATTATTTATCACGGGCGCGGGCGGTGGGCTTAACAAATAGGTGCCATTATCCCCACTTGGGTACGGAACCAAAACGTTGATGTCTATTAAGAACAGAAAGCCACAATAGACAGCGTCAGGCTGGCTGTGCATACAATGCAACGCACATAGTAAAACTTTGCTCAAAGGATTAGTTTGAAACCTATTGTAGGCGCATTTACCAACAACTTTCACGGTTGTTGTCTAGAATATGGAATCATCATTGTATGGTTGCATTTACCAGTAGGTAGCTATATACAACCAAGTTTTAATGAAAAACGTAGGCAAGTTTGATCTGGGCATACCTACTCAAATTCTAAAAATTCGTAAGTAACACTTTGTGTTGATAGGAAAGGTTAATGCCCCAATAGTCGATAGACATTACATAAAATAACGACTCGATCTAACTTCTCGATATGATATAGTCGTTACAAGATGTATTAAATAGAAAATGACAGTTTTACTTTGATTCGAAATCCCCTTCAAGAAGTCTAATTGAATTATATGTGATTTTTAGCTGGTAATAAAATAAACTACACAATGTTTCCACACAAATATTAAAATTATGTTTATAACCCCTCAAGCCTAAGGCGTGGAATCGATTTGCATTATGTTTTATATACCTATAGCTATACATGACTCACCATTCTTGTCTCGGAGAATGACGACGAATCTTGAGGTGACTTAAAGTTTTTACGAACATACAAAGCGGGAACAAGTTTATATGAAAAAATAATTTTAAAACAAAACCAAAACTGTCTTTAAAACCGAAAATGGAACTAAAAAATAATATCCGATTCATGATTTGAAAGTCGTTTGGGCCAAGAATAAAAAAATGGAATAGATTTCATTACTAAATTTCTATTGTCGATTTTGAAGTCTGTTTAAATTTTTGGTTTAAAAATATTTTTTATAAAACATCTAGCAGTTAAATGCTTAAAAACAATATTTATTTCATTAATTTTAGTGTAAAACGCGTCATACACAATGACTATTCAGCAGTAGCAAAGAATCGTGAAAATTACATCGTTCAAGTAAACATAAATGCTTATAAAATGAAAACTACTAAGTCAAACTAAATAAAAGTTTTATGGGACCAAAATGAAAGTACATCCTATCGATGAATCACTCAAATCTAAACAAAAATCTTTAAGCAATCAGATGTATAAACAAAATGATTATCGTAAAAATTACATCGTCTAAGTTGACAAAATGCTCATAAAATAATAACTACGGGGCCACATAAATTATTTTTTTATGGAACCAAATGACAATTTTGTTTTATATACAGGAGGAATAATGATAAATTTATGGATTTTTTTACAAATTATGTGTCCCAAATCAATTTTTCAATGTAATCAAACTGACGTCAACAGAGCTTATAATAAATTTATTGACCTATTTCGACTTTTGTATGACCTTTGTGTACCCATTGTAAAAAAAAATAACTTGTAGGAGTTTCAACCTTGGAAAACAACTAGTAAACATAAAAGGTATCTGTACCTTCTTTCTAAAAGAAGCACGTGTAATAACATTAAAATAGCTGTAAAAGATATTGCAAAAATTTAAAAAATGTGACAAAACAATCAAAGAAATTAACAAATATAATATGTGTGTTTGTCAAAAATCATGACGAATATTTTTGTAAAAAAAACTGACTAAAGCTTACATACAAGCCCAATATAAAAATGACATGAATACTGTATTATCGACTAGCTATATATTTGACAAAAGCTCTAACATAAGTGGAATTAAAATATTTTACAATTTTCCCAATGAAATTTATTGGAATTTAAATCAAGATAATTAATAAGATATTAAGAAATAGTTAAAAGATTAATGTGTTTATAATTGAAAAGAGTATTTTCGAAATTTTTAATAGCATTTACCACCGATAATGAATATTGTACGTCCGAAACGGGCAGCTGTCTAGAACTAAGACATCACTTGTACCACCATTGTACTCAGCATATATAAAGCTTTCTTTTCTGTTCTGTTCTGTTCTGTTCTATTCTATTCTATTCTATTTTATTGCATCGGACAAAAAACAATCACGTAAATCGGATCAGGCATACATACATTAAAAACATACCAGACGAATTCTAACCTCCTCCTTTTTGAAATCGGTTAAACGACCCATTTGATACAGCTACATTTCGAATGAAAACACCGTACATCACAAAATAACGTTCTGAAATGCAATATCTGATTAAATTATCAGCCTATTAACTTTTATAAGAGTTTCAGTAAAGTATCAACTCTGGGATACCTAAGAGTGATATCAAAGTAGCGGAGCCACTCATCCGCTAATTTTAGCTTTCGAGCACGTTCCCGCCAGATAATTAGGTTTCTACCCTTACAAAATTATGAAAAATAATTTGCCAAATCCAGCACGTTGTCCGAGAATATTTGGCAATAACTGGGAAAATAACAATAGAGTTTTACGAGGTTATATCACAGGCACATCAAGTTTTTCGTATCAATTGAAGCACCCATCTGGAAGAGGAAATTGTATCTTACAAAAGACTAAGTAAATAATATTATATTGGCGATATAAGAAATATATCGCGCCCTTTACAAATATTGTAAGTATCTAAAACGATTTTGATATGAAACATATATCACAGCTGTCGAGTAAGCTAATATCGAAAAGCTTGAATAGTGAGCAATGTAATATGCACTACGATTTCGTCGTGTTACAGCGAAATCCCAGTAAATCAAAATGAGTCGATTAAACAACTCAGTTCTTCGTCTATTAAAATCCATTAATGTGACATTAATTTGTAACGGCCGCGTCGAATAATCTCGAATAAGCTTTTCTTAAGCAGCAAGGCAGCGCCATCTCTTCGATTAACCATTTGAAAGAAGTAAAAGTGAGTTTAATTGTTTCCTATATTTCAGAAAAGGTTATGATCAAGCCTCTAGTTTAGGTGTTATCTATATTGCATGCTGAGAAATTATCATT